TTTTTAGTGCATTTCAAATAATTTTGTTTCATTCTAATAATTTTAGAACATTATTTTACTATTGTAGTTTATGGTCATATTTATATATATATGCATATAAATGTACACGAAAAGTGTTAAAAGTTAAGTATCTTGAACTCGTGTTTGGTGTTGATTTCCAATTTTTACATATTCATTAAAAAATATTTACTTTAAGACACAAGCACATATTTTTGTCTATTGCTTGCAGCACCTTTTGATAACGAGTGTTAACATTGCTTTAACATTTAATGTTATAAATTACAGCATATAAAACAACCATGCATTATAGTTAAAGCTATTCGACGCTAGGGGGCTAGAGTTGTATCAAAAAAAAAATTGTTAGTAAATATTTATTAAAACGAAAGATTCTACAAAAAAATTGTTGTAAATAATATTTTTAAAGTTTATATTTATAATATTAAATGAGTTTCATATGAGATGGTTTATTTCATATTAAATAATGTTATTAAAATAATATATAGGTTCATCTAAAAATATATATAAATGAAAAATTTGCTTTGGTTTTATTATGCTAATGGTATTCACGTTTAGAAGAAAAATAATATATGTTATTGTTAACATATATTTCTATAAATTTAAATTTATTTTAAATTTAAAAGAAATATTTTTATATATATTGTAAATGAATTTATTTTAAATAATAGTAAATCAACTTATGGAAGTTTTATTAATAAAAAATGTTTATCAAAAAAGATATATGAATAGAAAAATTTGTTTTGGCTCACCAAAACTATTTTAATTCTTCTATCTATGTTTACCAAGTAAAAATTTTTTAAAATTTATATTTTGGATAAAGCAATCCAAATAAGCTTTATTAACAAAAAAAAAACTAGAGATAGCAGAGACCTGAACCAGTTGTCTATTTGACTACTTTATGGATAGTAGCCAACAATTTCATGTCACGTCTTATAAGATACCGGTTTTGATATGTTTTGCTGTTGCTGGGTAAAGGTCTTAGAATCTTCACAAATCTTTATAAGCATTTAATGTTGGTCTCTACAATAAAGAACGCTGGCTCAAAACCTGACTTATGACATATATAAATTTAGAATACATATATTGTAACTATATCACAATTTTTTTATTAAATTTAATACACTCATTTTACCCATAAGAGTTAGAGGTAGAAAAATTTGTATATAATATAATATTAAAAAAATATATATACATATACTGATAATATATAAATAAATTTATCAGAAAATAGGTTTTATTTGGAACGCAATATATATTTATACGAAATAACTTATATGAAAATTAAATATCCTTTATATTTAATGCTTAATATTTATTCTCATAGTTAATTCATTACAATTAGTTCATACGAATGATTTAAGTATACTTAAATATATACGGCGTTTATAATAATAATGTAATATAATAATGTGAAAAGTTATAATATTATTTAAAATGAGTTTATTAGAACAGTTTTAAAATCATAAAAAAGTATATTACAAATAAATTCATTACTTAAATTGTGTTAAATATGACAACATACTTATAAAAACTTAATACGCTTATATATAAAATATTTAAGTGCATTCTCATCTGCCAACTATCTACCGTCTTTACGAGTGCATAATAATGACGATTAAATCCGCAAAGTTTCTTATCGAAAAAAGTTTTTACATGTACTAAGCTTCCCTGTGGTTACATGCAGTTTTAATTAAAGTTTGTTGCCAATGCACTGAAGTTGGTCTAAATTATATTAGTTACTAAACTTTTTAACCAAAAATAGTTAAACCAATATTCATTACAGTACTTTGTTGAATCGTTTTTGGTCCAGTGATGCAGTTTTAGTAACACAATCGAAATCTTTGTAATTTGCTTAAAATAAAAATTTTTTGATTAATATAAGTACTTATTTAACAAAAAAAAAAAAATAAATAAAATAATTTTTTTAACTTTCTTTGACATTCTTATAATTTCCTTATAGTATTAATTATTTTTATTATAATTAAAAATTCAGGTTAAAAAAATTTTGTAGATAAATTGCTTAACATTTTTTGATATGATTTTTTTAATCTCTTTAGCATTCGTCCCTCATTTTTTTCTGTTTTTATAGTATTTAATGGCTTTAGGACATCAACTGTAAAAATACAAAAAATCTGCTGTGAAATGCTTTTAACGTTAACTTCGTTTAAAATAAAATTTGTAACTTGCTGTGCAAGGGTTAATCCACACCAAGTATTTAATGTTTCCTTATTCCTTTTAAGAATATTTCAGCTTTCCTTCCTATTTCTGAAAATATTTAAGATTTCCTTTCTTCCTTTTAAAAATGTATTATTTGAGTTATTTTATTTTGTGTAGGTCTTCATAGCAATTTTTAAATAATATTTTGAAGAGGCTTTCGAAAATTATTTTAATAATTTGAATTTTTGCCAGACCATAGAGCTGTTTCGAGTATTGCCAAATACCCATCATCAGCGGTCTTGAAAAGAATTCTTATATTTAATTATTCGTAAATAATGAGACTGCAACTATCGGGAATCGAACTCGTGCTCTGCCAAATTTGAATCTCAGAGTTAACGCTCCTTAACCAACTGGCCCAAAGCTGAACTTGAGTTTTATATTTTTTTTAATTGTTGAACTTATGAAAAATTTTTATTAGCATATACTTTACATATAGGGTTCTCATATTAGAACCTTGCCTTAGAAATAAATAATTTTATAATTTAAAATAAACAGTTTTTTTAATATATTGCAGCTGTTTTGGCTTAAGTTAAGCCTATTAAACACTTATATCTGCTCTTGAGTGTTGGACTTGGACTTCAGGCGTTGGTTTTTTATTATGGATAATTCTTTTAATAATTGCTTCCTAAAATTTATAGGCAATCTTTAGATGGTTTCCTAGATGGTTGAAAGGAATCCTTTCAAGAATTTAAAAAATAGTTCAAACTATGTAGGTTTAGGTTTAGTAATTGAATGATACCTTGTTTAAAGTAGTCATATAATTACAAAAAATATTAGCATGGAATTCAAAATTTATAAATCTTTTTTGGCACCTTCCAAGATCTTCATGATATATAGTTGAGTATATAATTAACCTCTAAAATTATAAATATACCAATTTGGTTGTACATATTGTAAGCTTCGCCAAAGGCTCCAGGTGATTTTAAACCTTAAGTGTCTCTATCGTACGGTAACACAATGGACCAATATGCCTAAATACATACCCTTTGGATCACTGGTATAACCTAACCTATCTTTTGTAAGCAAAAGGTTTTCATTTAAATTTAATAATGAAGGTTAATGTATAAGTTTTATTCTAGTTACTTTAAAGGAGTAATAATATATCAAATATATTTTGTATTGCATTTTAAAGCTTAAAAATAATATTGTCTTAAAAATTGTTATAAAAAAATTTTGATTTAGGTTTTATATTCAATAGTTTTCGTAAATAATTTTTGCTTTGAAGCCACGTCTTAATCCACGTCTTGAGTGAGGCAGAGTGAGTGGCACTGGTAATTTACTTTTTTTTCCAAGTTTAAATACGTGCCACTCTCTTATTTTTAATATCACGTACGTTAACGTTTTCAACATATCCTTAATGACTTTATCTTTCACTTTTATGCACCTCTGGACTGTTGCAGCAAGTCACCACTTGGCTTATCTAGTACTAATAGCATTTCAGTGGCATATACATTTTTAAAATATCTTTTGCTGTTTTTTTTCAGTGCATTTTGTTCCAGCACGTGGACACAGTTTTATATGTAGGACTTTAATATAGAAGTTAGTTAGTTGAATTATTTAAGTAATATCTTAAT